TCGGAAGAAAGAAGATTTGATTGCGTTAACAACACGATACATTTTTTAAAAATCGGTTAGTAATGTGTTTGCTTAAAATATTGTTTTATATAAAAAGGGTATTTTTTCCTTTTAAATGTTTTTTCTCAAATTTTTACATACAAAGTATACAAATATGTATATCAGAAGAGAAGAAGGGGGTCTAAGCACGTTTACAACGATACCAACTTTTTAAAAATCAGTTCAAAATCGTTTGAAATATAAGGTTTTTAATTTTTCGAAGATCTGACCTTTGACCCGTTATAGCATATCGTCCCGTTTCTGCCTTAACCACGTATCTACAATTTTTGGGGAAACTAATTTTGCCACTTATAACAGCTGTTTAAGCGTCACACTATCTGAAAATAGAACAAAGATTTAATGAGGGTGCTCACTACTGTTAGTTGAACCAGAAATATTAAGTAAAAAATGCGTTTATTGTATCCTAGGGGAAGAGATTAAGCATTTTTTCTTACACTCTCTAAAATACCTCTATTGTAGATACGAGGTTAAGGCAGAAACGGGACGATATGTAATATAAGTTTGCAAAAAAAAAGTTATAAACCATTTAAATAAGAGCAAGATAGATCCTATTTCGAACTTCGAAGGCCCATGTCTCGATTTCGGAGACTAACTTCGAAAAAACGGAGAAGTTATTTTTTTACCTATGACTCAGTCTCTTAAAAAAATGGTTTGGTCCAATACCCAGCAGAGTGCTGTGCAGTGATAATGATTCTAGTATTTTCATTTATGCATATTGTAACAATCAATATATTAGAAAGAGAAGTTTACAATTTTTTATCTGAAACTAATAAAGTTAGAAGGACGAAATTCGACTTTAACTTTTAAAATATTTTGAATTTAACTTTTTAAACAGGTGACGGCCCTCTTCCAACAGCTCAGAAATATTCTTAGAGTTCAATCGAAGGATTTTTTAACACTCCTTCCTTTGATAGCATTATTTTCATATTTCTATAACTTGTGTATACATAAATTCGACATTTCTAGCAGGTGGCAACCCTCTTCAAAATATTTTCAAACTACTTTCTGAAACCCCTTTCGTTTGGTACTCATATGGTGATACATATTTCTCTTACTTAGTATAATTTTTCTAAACAGGTGGCCAGCCTCCTATAAGTAGTTCAGCTAAGAAACAAGGCTTTTCAAAACCATTTCTATTGATATCCAGTGTGTAACAAATGATTTATTTTTTTAAATAATTTAAATATAATATTTTAAAAAGTGGCAGCTAAAAAGGAAAACCTCATTGCACATCTACAGTCCAAGGTTTTTAATTTGACGTCTCATTTTAGCAAATCGGAACGAACGGTGCGGATTTGATGAATTTAATTTTTTAACAAGTGGCAACTATTTTCAAAAAACTAAAACCAGTTTGCACATCTACAGTCCAAGCGCTTTAAAAATGACATCTCACTTTTGAAAATCGCGTATTATATATGTCACCGGCCAAACCCGATCTTAGGGCCAACTAGTTTTTCCTAGGCTAAACTAGTTCTACCTAGATCCAATATATCCGTCCAATGTGGAAACAAGTCGGACGCAATAATATTTAGGACTGCGTACCTGGAGTTGGACTGATGAGGGTTATTTTTTCAAGGTATTCTGCGAAAAAAATTCTGTGGCCCCTTATCTAGTTTAGCCTAGGCAAAACTAGTTTGTCCTAAGATCGGGTTCATTAGAATATTGTTATTTGTGATAAAAAAAAGAAACACGTATTTTATTTTTTTTTTTTTCAAACAAATCCAAGCATTTTTTTTTTAATTTGGTCACCATTTTGGATCCACCATTTTGAATTTTGAAAAATTGACTTCAGATTCCTAATTAGCAACTCCAGAAATCCCCTGGTAACAAGTTCCAACCCATGGCAAGGCGTAAATCGTTCAGTATCAACGTGCTAATTTTACTAAGGCCTTTTCGAGAGCATATTTTCGGGAACTAGGCCCATTCTAACTGTCCAAGATAGGTGTGTAATAAAGGGAATGTTCCCCAATAATATCAGAGTAATTATATGTAAAAACCACAGCTGCATTTTAACATGTCACAAAAATAAAAAAATTTTGGACATCAGCGTTTTTATAAACACCCGACCAGCGCGACCACTAAGAAAACTTTTTTTTTTTTAACTTAAAAAACACGTTTCTCTGTGTTTATCACAAATAACAATAATTTGAGGTAGCGTTTATGAATTTCCAAAAAAAAATTTTTTTTAACTACTCTTATATAAATAGATAAGCTGTAGTGTAGTAAAGAAGTGCTTAAGTTTTATATAAAACCATGCGCATACCTTTTTTCTTAAAACTCCCACCAGAGGGAAAATTTTCACATTTTCTTCGAAACTTATTTTCGCAGTTTGGCAAACTCCAATTTGATTTTAGATCCCTGGTTTCTTCGACAAATTTTCTTAGAATTACACGTAAAATCCCCCGACTGCCAAAAAAGCAGAAGGTTATCACTCGTCGGAATATTTTTTATTTTATTTTTTTAATATATGTTATCGCACAACTTTGGACAACATTAACCGATTTCCAAAATTTTATCAGAAAGGTAGTGTCGCACAGGTGGTCCCATACTAATTTGGTTTAGATCCGATCAGTTGATCATGAAAAAATTAACGATACTCCCAAATTGTCGGTTGTGTTTTTTGCTTAAGAATTATTTATTTCTTTTACTTTTATCTTTTCGTGTAGGTTTATGTTTATCTTTTCAATTTCATTTTTATCCTTTCCTTTACCTTTATCCTGATCTTTGTCCTAATTATTTTCTTCATCTACACGTTCACACCCACCCAGTCGGAAAAGTAGTAATGCATTACATGCAGTTCTCGATCATATTACTGCTATTTCCAAAAATTGCATATTAAAACTCATTCATTTCTCGATACTAGGTAATGAAAAATTGAATGCCACAATTTTCTAGGACATCGCCCTGGGGGAAAAAATGCATTTTCGAATATGAGAAGGGTTGTTTTACTGATTATCTATACGATTACTATACATTACATTTTCCCACTGCGCACCTTTGTTATTATATTAAGTGTTTATTCCTTTCTTCTAGTACAGACTCATCTTTAGCTTGTTCCTTGTATGAATCTTAATCTACATAAATCTTATTCCTAACTGATGCTTAGCATGTTTATTTAATTCAGTGTCAATATTAAAGCATACAGTTAGGAGGCATTTCCTCCTCATTAGTGTCAATATAGAATTGATCTCGACATCAACCAAAGGACATTTTTTCAGCATATAGCTAAATTTTCTACTAGATCGTCGGTCTGATAATTTTTGTATTTGTATTTAAAACAAAGTAGGT